GCGTCAGCAGGTAAATAAAACTGGCCTGGCCCGCCAGGGTGCTTACCCTGGCGAGCCGCCTGCCGAACGTTGCCGACCCCTGCCTTAGTCCAAAACAAAGCTATGATATGAAATCTTGAATCTTTAATACTGCTCAGCTTGAACAATTCTTTTAAAGCTACCCTACAGGGTTCTTACTCCAACACACATCTGTAATACTTTTGAATGACTAAAGTTGAAAACTTCATGTATTAGTGGAATAATAGTTGTCATTGCTTCATGAAAAAATAAGGGAAACAAAAGTGCTTTTGTCCTTTATTAGGAAAAGTTCAACTTTTACAATACTTTTCCTATACCTTTTTTAGAAGGATTTCTTCCTCCAAATATGATAAGATTAACTGCAATGTCAGGATACTTTATACATATTACATTTCAAAAATAATAGTCATGAATCTTGTGAGTCCATTTTAGTAAAGTGCAAAAATGAGAGAGATGCTCACTCTCAAATAAAAAGAACAAATAAAAGCGCAATTAAAAAAAACTGTGAACTCAGGCACACAGTATTAGTGCCTTTTTTTCTTGATCTTACACTTACGGTATTTTTGGCCATGTTCTCTTTGTTTTTTTCTGTCATTTTCCATGCTACTGTCACTATCACTAGTTTGCTGCTCTCTTTTTCTTTTACAAGCATTTTCATTAGCCAGATATGATTCACAGTCGCTCAGTTGTGGAGGAACCCACTCAAAAGAGCTTTGCCCAGCTTTAAAATCCTCAACAGGATTCATATAGGGTGGCATGGGAAAAACTGAAGATGGTGGTGGAGTCATCTGATAGTAAGGAAGCTGCTGTTCCATTGGACTGTAAACAGCATACTGCTGTGTTAAAAAATGGCTCATCTGAAAAAACAAAAACTCAGTTATCAGAGCTGTCAAACAACTAAAAAAATCACAATTAATTGAGAGATTAAAAAATATCACAGTTTTAACTGCACTGTTAAACAATAGAATACCAATTTAAATTTATTATAAATATTTTGGATATTTTTCTACATTTTCAAATATATTTATTTCAATTACTACACAGAATATGAAGTATACAGTGTTCACGTTATATTATTTTTATTACAAATATTTGCACTGTAAAAAAGGTTTAAAAAGACCATGCTTTGACTTGTAGATTGCAGTAAGAGGCATACTAATGTTTAGCATATCTGGCACGTAAATACCTTGCAACACTGGCTACAACAATGCCATGTGAATGCCTGGTCTCACTTTTAGGTGACATTGTAAATAAGAAGCAGGCAGCATTATCTCCCATAAATGTAAACAAACTTGTTTCTCTTAGCGATAGGCTGAACAAGAAGTAGGACTGAATGGACTTGTAGGCTCTAAAGTTTTACCTTATTTTGGTTTTGAGTGCAGTTATGTAAAATAAATTCTACATTTGTAAGTTGCACTTTCATGATAAAGAGATTACACTATAGTACTTGTAAGAGGTGAAATGAAAAATACAATTTCTTTTGTTTCTTTCTTACAGTGCAAATTTTGTAATCAAAAATAATAATATAAAGTGAGCACCATACCCTTTGTAGTCTGTGTTGTAACTGAAATCAATATATTTGAAAATGTAGAAAAATATCCAAAAATATTTATAATAAATTTAAATTGGTATTCTATTGTTTAACAGTATGATTAAAACTGTGATTAATCGTGCCTATTTTTTAATCTAGTTAATTTGTTGTGTTAATCACTTAAGTTAACTGCGATAAATTGATAGTCCTACATATTAGACTAAGTTCCAACAAGACAAAGCTTAATTTTGCATGCACCACTGCATCTATAATGAAAATGTTAGCACCATTTTACAAGTATAAGTTATTACCTTATATAACGCTTTTCCATCTTCAAAGAGCTACAAAAATATTAAGTAATTCTATACCTTTGTAGGATACTTTAATATCTCCATTTTACAGACAGGAAAATTAAAGCAAATGTTAGACTCAATGCGTCAGATTCTCTACTCTAGATAAGCAGGAACAGGGATGGCAATACAAATTATAAATGTGTGTGTGTGTGCATGCATATGCTGGGGGAAAGGGCTTGGAGCAGAAAAGTGGTTTTATGTCATCTTTGTGCCTTCCCAAATTCTAACTTTGGCCTTTGACTAAGTTAGGGCATCTCAAGGTATCTCCAGTTTATGCCTGGGGCCGTTGTGGCAGCTGGACTGCAGTGATGTTTCAGCCACACTCTCCTAGCTATACTTTCAGCACACCTCCTGTCTCATCTAGAGAAGCACTATAAGTATTCCCTAGTTTAGCAGATCTACTGTCTTTAATATTGGCAGCCTAATTGGACCACAGGGCAACACAGAATCCAACCCACAATGTTTGCTGCCTAAAGTTGAGCACTAAAATCCATATCCAGGCACCAAAATAAGCAACCTTATTTTTCAGAAGAATGGGGCTCCCTCAACTTGAGGGAGCCAATGTCAGAGTAGGATTAAAATTTTGGACTGGTAGCCAGACACTCAAATTCTGATCAGCTTCCATATTAATGTGTTACACAAGCACCATGTCAGAAAACAAAATATCCGATTTTTATACTCCCTGGTATGCTAAGAATTTGTAACTACTATACAGATATACCTCCGTTATTTGGACATGGTGACTAGGAATTCAGATAATATACTCTTTAATACATTAATTCTGTTGTCTTTCATTTCACACAAGTCATTTTGCTTTAATGGAAGGAACAACTATTAACCAGATTTGTAACATTTATGCAAACTTACCATCTTTTGAAAGGCTGAATATTCCTGAGGTAAACTATTGTTCATTGGAAAAGGAGTAATGGGAAATGGAGGACTGCCATAAGGCTCTTGATTCCTGTGAAAACAAGCATAAATACGTGAAGTTGTCTCTTGTCAAAGATTCCCTTTTCAAAAAAAATCAATTATTTGAATTTTGGGATATCACATGCAGCTGACTGGATGGATGATATGTTAAAAGCTGAATGAACTTCTGTTTTAAGAGCTGAAGCTCCAGGACAAAATTGTGCCAACTAAAGGAACTAGATGAGAGGATTCAGCAAAGGCAACTGAAGTCCATGGAAAGACTTACATAGACTCTAAATGACATTGTATCAAGCCCTGAGAGCTTAATTTCCCTTAATAGTTCTGCCAGAGTTTTAAACAAAAGTGTTGAAGATCTAGGCTGGTTTTCAGAGGTAAGCTCCATTATGATGATTTATGTTTTTGTATTCTTATGTCATTTGTACATGCATACAAACTTGATGGAGTTTTAAAATTATTTCCATTATCACTGACTGTTTTTTTCTAAAAAATGTAGTTCTAGAGGGTTTTTTTGTGGAAAAAAATGCTCTGAAATAATTTTACAACATTTATACTTTCTTCTGGCAGAAACGAGGCATGTAAAATTCATTCTGTCTGGTCATTTTGGATTGACATAGTATCCATTCTAATCACCCAAATGTTTAAAATAATAGGATCCAGGCCCAACCACACTGGTCTAAAAACCAAGCTTGCTGACCTGTGACTAGGCAGAGGTAACATGGTCCCCAACAGCTTGACCAGTTAGCAGGGATGGAGTCAAAATACACTACAACTGTTTGTATATGTGGTATGTACACACTGATCTCAGATTCTAGTATGGGTTACAACTTTTAAAATAAAAGATGTTTCACACCAAAAGACCTCCACCCCGAATATAATACAGTAGAACCTCAGAGTTAACAAACACCTCGGAATGGAGGCTGTTTGTAATTTTGAAATGTTCGTAACTCAGAACAAAACATTATGGTTGTTCTTTCAAAAGTTTACAACTGAACATTGACTTAATACAGCTTTGAAACTTTACTATGGAGAAGAAAAATGGTGCTTTCCCTTTTTTTTAGTAGTTTACGTTTAACACTGTACTGTACTTTTTTGGGGGGTTTTTTGGTCTCCGCTGCTGCCTGATTGTGTACTTTCGGTTCCAAATGAGGTGTGTGGTTGACTGGTCAGTTCATAACTCTGGTATTCGTAACTCTGAGGTTCTACTGTAGAACCATTAGGGCAGAGGGACAGCTCAGTGGTTTGAGCATTGGCCTGCTAAATCCAGGATTGTGAGCTCAATCCTTGAGGGGCCACTTAGGGATCTGGGGCAAAATCAGTACTTGGTCCTGCTAGTGAAGGCAGGGGGCTGGACTCCATGACCCTTTGGGGGGAGGGATAGCTCAGTGGTTTGAGCATTGGCCTGCT